GACAGGGGGACAGGGCAGGGGGACAGGGCTGAGGGCAGGGGTACAAGGCTGCGGGCAGCGGGACACGGCTGCGGGCAGGGCTCGGCGGGGCTGCCCGGGCGCGGAGGGCGGGCAGAGCGCTCACCGGGGGACGGGAAGAGCTCGATGTCCACCTTCTCCGTCTTGATGATGGTCAGATCCACCGCCGCCTTCATGGCTGGGGCAGCGCGGCGGGGGCGTCGCGCCGGGAGCGGGGGGCGGCGGCTGAGCCCCGCCGAGCGCGGAGCGGAGCGCTCGGGGCAGCGCGGCCGGCGCTGCCTCCCTCCTCCTCCTCCTCTTCCTCCTCTTCCTCCTGCTGCTGCTGCTGCTGCTCCCGCTCCTCCTCCTCCTCTTCCTCCTTCCTTCCTGCCTCCCTTCCGCGCTCCCTCGCTGCCCTGCCGGCTGCTCTCCCGGCTGCGCTCCGCTCCGCCGCCGCCCCGGCCGGGCTGAGCCGCCGAGGGGAGGGGAGGGCGCTGGGCCGGCCCCGAGCGGTGACAGCGGCGGGAGGGACCCGGCGCGGACCCGCCCGCCCCGCCCCGGAGGTGGCCCCGGCCCCCGGCCCCGCGGGGAGCGGAGCCGGAGCTGCTGCGGGACATCGGGGGGTCCCGGGGATGCGGGGAGGGGGCAGCGCGTCCAGCGCATCCCATCCAGCGCCTCCGCCGCAACCTCTGCGCGCATCGCCGTGCCCAGAACACGACGGGAAAACAGAGTGTGAGCACGGGGAAAGAGCCCGAGGACGGGGAAATGCCGCTGGGCTGCAGCCAGCCCTGGGCTAGAGCCGCAGCAGCCTGTCCAAAACCGATGGTTCTTGAAACCAGGCCAGTTGTCTTCACCCTGCCTGCCTCGACACGAACCGCTGCCTTTCATGCTCACCCATTCACTCTCCCATCACCCCAACATTGTCCCATCAACCCCTCACAACTTCCATCATCCCGCTTGGAGCAGCCTGATCCTCTCCCACCCTCAAGTGGGTGCACGGCCAGGGCAGTGTGGGTGCACATCGTGTGGTGACGGGTTCCCAGGCCTGCTTTGTACAGGTGGGAGGCCAAAAAGGTTTAGGAACTGACTGGATAAAAAGATTCAAGATGAGTATTGTGCCAGCGTGGCACGGAGTCAACAGAAGAATGTCGTTTTTCACATGAAATATGTTTTATTGTATTTAGGTAGCACAAACTTCAGACCACAAACGGCAGAGCAGGAGGGAGATTATGACTCACAGATGTCAACTTACCGGTACAGAGAAAAAAAAAAAAAAATCATTAGCAACCAACTCTTGTGGTTCTCTCACTCTGAAAGTCTTTAACAGCCTCCTGGCAGAGCCTGGGCTGCTCTCAGCAAAGCTGGGCTCAAATGAACACGGGCCCACATGAGCCACTGGCCAAGCCTTGGGATGAACCAGGGTCCTGCTTGCAAACACCCTGGAAACCTCCCAAGGCCTGAGGGCTGAGCTGCAGATGCAAAGGCTGCAGCTCCCAGCACTGGGAGCCCCTGCAGCCCTGCCTTCCTCAGCCCTTCTCAGCCGCCCCAGGGCGTATTTATAGAAGGAAAGTTTGTGTAACTGAAAGAAGCTGCAGGAGGTGCCGGGGCCAGACCTGGAGAGCCCGGTTGTGGCTGCACAAACGGCCAAAGCAAGGCAGATAGTTCAAGACACAGCCAGCAGGAAGGTTGGAGCTGGCAAAGCCAGGCAGGCACTGAGTTCCAGCCCAAAGTTCATCTCCCAGGCACCTCACCCACTGACAACCTCTCACATTTCCGATTTTACAGGCAATCGTGTTTTCAATTTACTCACAAGCTCAGTTCTGGGCAACTTATTCCTGCAGCAGTGGAGTGGGATCAGCAATTCATGGTGTGACCAATAAATAAACTCCCGCCGCTGGTTCCCCTGGGCTTTGGGGAACCTGAGCCGTGCTCAGGCAGGCACAGGGATTGAAACCTCTGCTGGTGGTTTGAAACCTACCACAGGAATGAACCTGGAAATCCAGAAGTGAAAAGAGAACGGCTGTGGGGCTAAAATGTGGTCCCTGCAGGGATAAAATTGCCTCTCCCATCCAGGATAATGTGCTTGCACCTGCCCTCGGTTTGGGTTTCTTTTCTCTCTTCCCTGTACGGCAACGATTGAAGGGAGAAACTATAGAGAGGAGATTTAGCAGAACATTTCCAGTTGCAAATCAAAAGGGGATTCAGGGGAAACAGCTGCCTTTCTGTCTGATCTCTGATCCTTTCAGGGCAGGCTGGGGAAGAGAAACCTGATGCATTTATCGCAGCCCCGCGATCTCTCCCTTCCTACCCTCGGCTGGGCTGTGATCCCGCGGTGGGAGAGAGGGGGAGTGAGTGTGTGAGTGTGTGTGTGAATGAGTGTGTCAGTGTGTGTGTGTCTGCCTGTCTGTGTGTGTCAGTGTGTGTGTCAGTGTGTGTGTCAGTGTGCCAGTTGCTGCAGGTGCCTGCGGGCAATGGAACCATCAGAGGGCACCTGCAGTCCCACCCGCATGGAAATGACCCGCGGTGGATAATTCCCCTGCCCAGAGACAGCAGCAGCACCAGCCACAACCCCCAGCCCGAGCAGAGAGGAGGAACTTGGCGAGGTCCCCGTGACTCGCCCGTTTCTTGGGCCGTTTGCTGATGCCACAAGGGGAAGGCTTTGCTGAGCAGAGCTGGGCACTCAAAGCAGCAGCAGAGGAGGCAGCGTTGTCCCCCGTGCTGTCACTGCTTTGGCCTCGCTCCCCTGGGCCGGTGATTTTTGGCTCGGCCTGTCCTGCAAACGTTCCCGTCTCGGGGACTGGCTGAACTCCAGTGCACCTGTACTGGGGCTCCTTCCCTCCTGGACCAGTGCAAAGGCTCCAATAAAGATCTTTCTCACAGCTCGTGTGGTTTTTATTAGGAAAGACCCACGCGCTCTTGGCATCCCCGCTCAGCTCTCATCCAGCAAAGCCAGTGACACCAAACCACAGGTTGATGCAGAGGGGCTGAGATGGAGCTTTGAGCTTTGCCTCAGCCCCTCTCGTGCCCACCCCCCCCAAAAAAAAATTTCATTTTGCTGTTGCGTTTCATGACAGCCCCCAGGCGCAGGGAAAGCAGAAACGCTTCCAAAGCAGCGCCGGGGGAAAACCCCCCAAAGCGGAGGAAAAGCAAGGAGTGGCTGCGGGCAGAGGTTTCCTCCCGGGGCAGCTGCATCTCTCCCTCGAACCCGGCTCCGTCCTAACAGCCGCCTTAATTTGTGTTCACTTCAGAGCCCGCGACATGAAAGGGCTGGCTCTGAGCTCCAGCTGAGCCGCTCAATGGCTCAGTGTTCGCACAAGGCATGGAAGGAATCCATCGCTTAGTTTCTTCAGCTGGGATGTGACCAATTGGAGCCCAAGACCTGCCAAACATGACTTCGCCTCGGCAACTGGTTCCTATTTGCTGCTCACGGGCTTTAGAAAAATCTTTCCTCTTCCGCATCCAAGTCTCACCCTCCTTTTCCACTCTGGTGACAACGTGAGTGTCTCCTGCGGCTCTCTCCCGTGGAGGGAGGATGCCGGGCTGAGGAGAACAGCCCTCCTGCCATTAACGTGGCCAAAAGATGGGAGATAACCATCTGCCCTCCCTCCACAATGCAGCCCGGCTGTTTTCCAGCACTTTTGGGAACAAAGAAAGGACGGGCAGTAATGCCACATTGTTCCCAGGGACGCTGACTAACCTTGGGTTAAAAGAATAATAATTATTATTCCCTTAGCACTGAGGAAAGGTGTCACTGAGCCCAGCCCTCCCCGGGCTTTCTGGGCTGCTCTTCCACGACCTTTCTCCGAGCTCTTTCCCTTTGCCAGCCTCAAATTCACCCCTGTCCCTGCCCAGGGCAGCTGCTGGCTGTCCTCAGAATGCTACAGAGCTGGGACAGCTTCTCCTTTCCCTTGGATTTACCCCTTCTCATTCCAGCAGGAATTAGGTGTAACTCCTGGTCTGGAGAAGCTTTTCCAAGCCACCTCTGGGGTGAAACACAACGGAGCATCCACCCAGCTGTAATGGCCAGGAAATGAAGAACACCATATCCAATTAAAACTGCAGGGGGATATTTATGGCAGAACGTAATTAGCCAAATTGGAGCCTTCCCCAAAACTGCCATGGGATTTTTAATGACCTCGAGCGGCCAGGGATTCGTTTTGATGTTTTGTCAAAGTAAACAATATCCAGAGGGCTTGAGACAAAAATCAGGAGCAAAGGGGAAGGAGGGGGG